GAATAAGCATTTGTCAATGTTCAAACGTATGTTGTAAGTGGAAAAACGTTCAAACACTGCTCTGCACTGAGCTGCATGTTCAGCTTGGGAGGTGCTAGCGACTAAAACATCGTCAAGGTAGGTACACGCAAACGGTAAGCCACGTAAAACCTCGTCCATGAAACGTTGAAACGTTTGGGCTGCATTTCGAAGACCAAAGGGTATACGCGTGAATTCGAAAAGGCCAAAAGATGTTGTGATGGCTGTTTTGGGAATGACTTCCGGGGCTACGGGTTTGTGGTAGTATCCTCTTACGAGATCGAATTTGGAGATGTTTGTATGGCATAGGGTACTTGCGAAATCGTGGATATGTGGGATGGTATACCTGTATAGGATAGTAGCGCTGTTGAGAGAACGGTAATCTCCACAGGGTCTCCAATCACCTTTAGGTTTCTTAAATACCATATGTAGGGGTGATTACCAATGACTCGATGAAGGGTGGATGATGCCGAGTTCGAGCTTGTATTCGAACTCGTGGTTTGCGATTTGTAGCTTACCCGGATGAAGTCGGCGCGGGTTGGCATGGACACGGGGACCTCTCGTCTGAATGTGGTGAACGACGGAATGAGTGACCGGTTGGGTGTACTGACATGGGTGAGTAAGGGTTGGAAAATCCCTAAGTATGTCGGTGTACTGATATGGGTGAGTAAGGGTTGGAAAATCCCTAAGTACGTCAGCAAAATGTTAATCCGGTAAGATAACTCGGATACCTGTGGATAAATTTGGTGCACTAATTCCGTTGACTGAGAGGGAAGTGAGCGTGTCTAAGAGACGTTTGCGTCGCACGTCGACAGATAGATCGTAATGGGTCAGGAAATCTGCACTGAGGATGGGTGTTTGGACGTCGGCCAAAAAGAAGATCCATTTGAACGTACGTCGCAATCCAAGATCAAGGGTGAGGAAAAGCTCGCCGTATATAGCGATGTAGGTACCGTTAGCGACTTGTAAGGAGGAAGAAGCAGAATCGGGAAATGGATTCTTATGTGGTAGCACACGAACTTCAGCCCTTGTATCTACGAGGAAACCTAGACCACTTGAACGATCGGTGATGTGGAACAGGCGACTAGTGCGAGGAGGGCCACAGACAGTCGTCGCCGTTACTGACTGGCCGGGG